AGATATGGTGCGATCTATGATGTCTCTTATCGGTTTACCACTATTGTTTTGGGGTTATGCATTAGAGACAGCTGCATTCACGTTTAATAGGGCACCATCTAAATCTGTTGAGACGACACCGTATGAACTATGGTTTAGCAGTAAACCTAAGCTGTCGTTTCTTAAAGCTTGGAGTTGTGATGCTTATATGAAAAAGGTTTTCAACCTGATAAGCTCGAACCCAAATCGGAGAAGTGCGTCTTCATAGAATACCCAAAGGTAACTATTGGGTACACCTTCTATCACAGATCCGAAGGCAAGTTATTCGTTGCTAAGATGGATCCTTTCTAGAGAAGGAGTTTCTCTCGAAAGAAGTGAGTGGGAGGAAAGTAGAACTTGATGAGGTAACTATATCTACTCCCTTGTTGGAAAGTAGTTTATCATAGAAATCAGTTCTAGTGATTCCTACACCAATTAGTGAGGAAGTTAATGATGATGATCATGAAACTTCAGATCAAGTTACTACCAAACCTCGTAGGTCACCCAGAGTAAGATCCGCACCAGAGTGGTGCAGTAATCATGTTCTGGAAGTCATGTTACTAGACCATGATGAACCTACGAACTATGAGGAAGCGATGATGAGCCCAGATTCCACGAAATGGCTTGAGGCCATAAAATCTGAGATATGATCCATGTATGAGAACAAAGTATGGACTTTGATTGACTTGCTCGATGATCAGCAAGCCGTGTTAAATAAATGGATCTTCAAGAGGAAGACGGACACTGATAGTAGTGTTACTATCTACTATGCTCGACTTGTTGCGAAAGGTTTTTGACAAGTTCAAGGTGTTGAATACGATGAGATTTTCTCACTCGTATCGATGCTTAAGTTTGTCTGAATCATGTTAGCAATTGCCACATTTTATGAAATCTGGCAAATGGATGTCAAAACTGATTCCTTAATGGATTTTTTAAAGAAGAGTTGTATATGATGCAACCAGAAGGTTTTGCTAATCCTAAAGGTGCTAACAAAATATGCAAGCTCCAGCGATCCATCAATGCACTGGTGCAAGCATCTCGGAGTTGGAATATACACTTTGATAAGTTGATCAAAGCATATAGTTTTATACAGACTTTCGGAAAGGCCTGTATTTACAAGAAAGTGAGTGGGAGCACTACATCATTTCTGATAAGTATATGTGAATGACATATTGTTGATCGAAAATAATGTAGAATTTTTCTAGAAAGCATAAAGGAGTGTTTGAAAGGAGTTTTTCAAAGAAAGACTTTGGTGAAGCTGCTTACACATTGAGCATCAATATCTATATAGATAGATCAAGACGCTTGATAAGATTTTTCAATGAGTACATACCTTGATAAATTTTTGAAATAGTTCAAAATGGAACAGTCAAAGAAGGAGTTCTTGCCTGTGATGCAAAGGTGTGAATTTGAGTAAGACTCAAGACTCGACCATGGTAGAAAATAGAAATAGAATGAAAAGTCATTCCCTATGCCTCAGTCATAGGTTCTATAAAGTATGCTATGCTGTGAACCAGACCTATTGTATACCTTGCTCTGAGTTTGACAAAGGAATACAATTTTGATCCAAGAGTAGATCACTGGACAACGGTCAAGAATATCCTTAGTGAGGACTAAGGAGATGTTTCTCGATTATGGAGGTGATAAAAGAGCCCGTCGTAAAAAGTTACAACGATGCAAGCTTTTACACTGATCCAGATGACTCTAAGTCTCAATCTGGATACATATTGAAAGTGGGAGCAATTAGCTAGAGTAGCTCCATGCAGAGCATTGTGTACATAGAATATTTTGCAAAATACATACGGCTCTGAATATGACAGATCCGTTGACTAAAATGCTCTCACAAGCAAAACATGATCATACCTTAGTACTCTTTGGGTGTTAATCACATAGCAACATGAACTAGATTATTGACTCTAGTAAACCCTTTGGGTGTTGGTCACATGACGATGTGAACTATGGGTGTTAATCATATACAGATATGAATATTGATGTTAAATCACATGGCGATGTGAACTAGATTATTGACACTAGTGCAAGTGGGAGACTGAAGGAAATATGCCCTAGAGGCAATAATAAAGTTATTATTTATTTCCTCATATCATGATAAATGTTTATTATTCATGCTAGAATTGTATTAACCGGAAACATGATACACGTGTGAATACATAGACAAACATAAAGTCACTAGTATGCCTCTACTTGACTAGCTCATTAATCAAAGATGGTTATGTTTCCTAACCATAGACATGTGTTGTCATTTGATTAATGGGATCACATCATTAGGAGAATGATGTGATTGACATGACCCATTCCGTTAGCCTAGCACTTGATCGTTTAGTATGTTGCTATTGCTTTCTTCATGACTTATACAAAGTTCCTGCAACTATGAGATTGTGCAACTCACGTTTACCGGAAGAACACTTTGTGTGCTACCAAACATCACAACGTAACTGGGTGATTATAAAGGTGCTCTATAGGTGTTTCCGAAGGTACATGTTGGGTTGGCATAATTCGAGATTAGGTTTTGTCACTCCGATTGTCGGAGAGGTATCTCTGGGCCCTCTCGGTAATACTCATCACCTAAGCCTTGCAAGCATTGTAACTAATGAGTTAGTTATAAGATGATGTGTTACAGAACGAGTAAAGAGACTTGCCGGTAACGAGATTGAACTAGGTATTGGATACCGACGATCAAATCTCGGGCAAGTAACATACCGATGACAAAGGGAACAACGTATATTGTTATGCGGTTTGACCGATAAAGATCTTCGTAGAATATGTAGGAACCAATATGGGCATCCAGGTTCCGCTATTGGTTATTGACCGAGAATAGTTCTAGGTCATGTCTACATAGTTCTCGAACCCGTAGGGTCCGCACGCTTAACGTTATGATGACAGTTTTATTATGAGTTTACAAGTTTTGATGTACCGAAGTTTGTTCGGAGTCCTGGATGTGATCACGGACATGACGAGGAGTCTCGAAATGGTCGAGACATAAAGATTGATATATTGGACGACTATATTCGGACACCGGAAGTGTCTCGGGTGATTTCGGAGAAAACCGGAGTGCCGGAGGGTTACCGGAACCCCCCCGGAGAGTTAATGGGTCACATGGGCCTTGGTGGGAAGAGAGAGGGGCAGCCAGGAAGGGCCACGCGCCCCCTCTCCCTCTGGTCCGAATTGGACTAGGAGGGGGGCGGCGGCACCCCCCTCTTTCCTTCCCCTCCTCTCCCCCTTCCTTCCCCTCCTAGTAGGAGTAGGAAAGGAGGAGTCCTACTCCTACTAGGAGGAGGATTCCTCCTCCTGGCGCGCCCAACAAGGGCCGGCCGGCCTCCCCCCTCCCTCCTTTATATACGGGGGCAGGGGGCACCCCATAGACACACAAGTTGATCTACGGATCGTTCCTTAGCCATGTGCGGTGCCCCCCTCCACCATATTCCACCTCGGTCATATTGTCGCGGAGTTTAGGCGAAGCCCTGCGCCGGTAGAACATCATCATCGTCACCACGCCGTCGTGCTGACGGAACTCATCCCCGAAGCTTTGCTGGATCGGAGCCCGGGGATCGTCATCGAGCGGAACGTGTGCTGAACTCGGAGGTGTCGTACGTTCGGTGCTTGGATCGGTCGGATCGTGAAGACATACGACTACATCAACTGCGTTGTCATAACGCTTCCGCTTACGGTCTATGAGGGTACGTGGATGAACACTCTCCCCTCTCGTTGCTATGCATCACCATGATCTTCCGTGTGCATAGGAATTTTTTTGAAATTACTACGTTCCCCAACATTATTGTCATCTGAGATGTTGAGAGCTAATAAAAACAAGCAAACTACCCTAATCTATTCTCGTCATTGGAGATGTTGATGAGTTCTTGGCCGGATGGACCGACCTCATGGTCATTAGTAGTGGAGCGAACCGTTGACTCCTCTTCGTCGGCATTGACGTCCGCGAAGAGTTGCTCCCACTTCATGTCGATGAGGTGGATAAGGCGGCGGCTCGTCATGACCTCTTTCTCAGATTGGGTCGAGTCAAGGATGGTTGGTTGATCTGCCTCGAACTATGTCGTGCTTCCATGCCAAAGCCGCCAGGATCAACCCCCATGACTGATGCCTCCTTCGCCTCCTCCTCCATGTCCTCTGTCACCTCCTCCTCCTCCTTCGGTACATCTACATGCTCCGTCGCAATTTGAGTGGCGCGGCATGCCTACTCGGCAGCGCAATGCTTTTTGGAGGCACATCTCGACGGTGATCTTCATAGGGCACTCTTGCGTGAGCATCTTGTAGTAGGTTATTTTCTCCCAGACCATGGCGACAGCGAGGTGGGGGCAAAATGGGAAGCGGACAGGGGGAGTGGTGGGTGCGCAGACTTAAGGTGGGGAAGAAACGAGGCGGCTAGGGTTTCCCTCGTCGTCCGGCTTAAATAGTCGGATTCAAAAAAAAATCTTAATTTTTGTTACACATGTTCATATGGACATTCGAACTATGTCTGAGACTGTGATGCCATTGCCATGTACTAATAGCTCTCTAGATCGGGTGAAACCTTGGCAATATCATGTAACAGCTCATGCAGAAAGATCTCGTGTCATTCTGAACTGCCACAAACGAGTAAATAGCATAAAACTACTAGTTTACAGGCTATGGTTCCAAAAAACTACCACTTTTTATTTTTTTCTCAGAAAACTACCAAACGAGCGGTCGGCTGTTTCAAAAAACCCAAACCCATGGTGACTAGCGTTTTAACCGTTTTTCTGACGTGTCGGGCCCACATGTCAGCCCACATGGGCACGCGCGCTCACGGCGCGGCAGTTAACAACCGTTAGCCCAGCCGGTCTGGTTCGGTCGGAACAAGGTAAATACCCCACTCACGCGCGCTCCCACTCGCTGCTCGCTCACTCCCCTGCTCCCACTCCCCTGCTCTAGTACAAGCTCGCCGCCGGTCGCCGTCTTTGAGGTAGGTCACCGTCGACCTCCTTGCCGCCATGCCTTCCTGGAACGACGAGGAAACGAGCTTCGACGAGGACTGCAAGGTCGTCAGCATGGACATGGGACTGATGGTAAGTTTTTCTTTGCCACCTAGGGTTAGGGTTAAATGCTAGTAGGCCTAGGCTACAGCCATGGATCTGGCTTAGTTAGTGTTGTTGTTGTCTCTGTGATATGGATCTTGATTAGTGAGGGTGGGGATTGAGAAACCCTAGGGTTCATCTTTGTACAGTGTTAGGGTTCATGCTGATTTGGGGATTTTCACTGTTTAGGGTTAATAAATAGTGCTAGTTGATTGTGGTATAGAGTGGTGATTGAAACCAGTGTATTTTTTGGTCGCAGGAGGAACCAGACACCATTGTGGAGCCCCTTTTCTGTGGCCAACTTGAGCTTGCTGAACCCAAGTGCATTCTGCATCAAATGAGGCTTGTTAAGTGTGTTGCTTTTGAAGGCATTGTAACAGGAAGGCGTTTCTATGGCTGCCCAGTCCAGGTTAGATATTGGTGTTCACTGGCCTCCCATGATGCAACAGTTTGTTACTGATATGAAAGTCACTTATGGTTTTTTGTTACTTTGCAAACTTAACATGGCACTGAAATTAGCTTCTCCACTTGCACTAACTTATCACATTTACAAATGTAGGCAAATGGTGTGAATGGTGGTGTTGTAGAGTGGGTTGATGGGCCTTGGCCTCCAGTTCTTCAGAGATGTTTGTCCAAGCTATGGGAAATGTTCCATGAGCAGAACTGTGGAAGGGTACTTGACAAAGATAAGTTTGAGAAGGAGTTGGCCAAGGTTAAGAGTGAACATGAAAGGGAGTTGGCCAAGCTTAAGATGGAAAATGACAATCTGTGCATTGAGTACACCAAGATTGTTGATGATGTATCCAAGATGTTTGATTGGCAGGATGGTAGGGTGGACAAGAATGTGCACCAGAAACAAGTGGAGGAGGAAGAACTTGAGAAGAAGAAGAAGGAGCTAGAGGAGAAAGCTATGTTGGAGGTGCAGATGGAAAAGCTTAAACTTGCAAAAGACCAGAGGTGCATTTTGCAGAGCCAAGCTGATACCATCAAGAACACCAGGAAGGCTATGAAGGATGGTCAAGTTGACAGAGATGTTCTTATGAAGGAGAAGGAAAATCTTGAGCTAGTTGTTGCTGAGCTGCTGAAAGATGGGTATGGCAGCAAGGAGAAGTTAGAGCAAATCAAGGCCATCCTTGAGTCCTGAAGTTGTTGTGAGATGTTGGTGAAGTAAGTACATCCAATGCCTATATATAAGGATGTGGCCTATCAGGTATGAAGTGATTATATGGGTGTACATTTTGGGGGAATGTGAAGTTAACCTAGTGTTTGGCCATGCATCTGAACTTTAGTTTCTAATGTAAGAACCTTATTTGCTATGTTCTTAAGTAAGTTGTAATGGATCTCCTATGCTATTAAGTGTTGTAATGGATCTCCTATGCTACTAAGTAGTGGAAATGGATCTTATATGCTATTAAGTGTTCAAATTGATCTTATGTATTATGTGTTAGCCTACATATATTATTTGTGTGGGTAATTGGGCTTAGTGGCCCACTAGTCTCTGACAAAATGCAACCCTAGGCCTACTAAACCCAACCCCATCTGTCAATATAAACCCCTCCCCACCCCCACCCTTTCTCCCAGTCACTCGACCAGCCGCCACCCAAAAGAAACCCTAGAGATGGATCCTGACATGGGAGATGTCACAGAAGAGGAGGGGGAGGCTTTGGAGGTTAGTGCTGCAGCAACACAGAGGGGGAGGAGGAGGAGGCACGGGCAGAGGGCAATTGCGGCGACCCAGGATGAGCAGCAATAGGAGTTCAACCAGCGACTCTCCGACAAGGTACTGGAGAAATGCAATGATGAAGAACTAGAGCTGGTTTTCACTGGTGGCAGGGGAAGAACCTTCATGCAGATCATTAGCTGGGCAAGGATGAGGGCAGTCATGGCTCCCCATCCAGCTACTAGAGCCAAGTGGGTTCGTTTCTTCGAGCGTTATGATTGATGAATCTATGTATCTACCTATCTATCTTTCTATCTATCTATCTATCTATCTATCTTTCTGGTACTATTTGTGAGATGGTGATGACTATCTTTCTATCTATGTAACAAATGGATGTTTCTGAATCAATGTATGCATTTGGGTCAGTGAGTATGTAACATTTGGATGTTTCTGAATCAGCACCATTTGGTCATATAAATTGAAGATGCATATACATTGAAGTTGCAGACAACCTAGTGCTAAATGCAGATAAATTGAAGTTGCAGATAAAATGAAGTTGCAGATAAATTGAAGTGCTGAATCCACAAACAGTATCATATTACAAACCAAATCAAATCCAACAGTACCAAGTACTTACTGAAGCAGTGTTATTACAAACCAAATCCAACAGTTCACTTGCATAAGCAACCTAGGATAACAGATGGGTTCAACCACTTGAGCTAGTTACCACTTGCATAAAAGTAATCCTTCAGCCTCCCAGATGGCTTCCTGACCCTCTTTGACCCATCCTGCACAGCACTTGTAGCAGATTGTCTAGGAGCAATGAAAGATCCATTGCCAGCTCTATTGGCAGAAGCTGACCTGGTGTTCTTTGCTGGAGAAGACCTTGATGACCTAGTGTTCTTTGCTGGAGAAGAAATAGTTGTGCTCTTTTTCTTGGGAGCTGGTGCTGGTGCTGCTGAAGAGGTGTTGGTCCTGCTCTTCTTGAGAGGTGGTGGTTGTAGGACCTTGAAGTATGTCTAGAGGGGGGGTGATTAGACTACTTGACCAATTAAAAACTTAACCTTTTCCCAATTTTAGACTTTGGCAGATTTTAGCTATCTTTGCACAAGTCAAGCAATCTTCACACAATTCAAGCAAGCATGCAAAGAGTATATGAGCACTGGAAATTAAAGCATGCAACTTGCAAGAATGTAAAGGGAAGGGTTTGGAGGATTCAAACGCAATTCAAGACACGGATGTTTTTGTCGTGGTTCCGATAGGTGGTGCTATCGTACATCCACGTTGATGGAGACTTCAACCCAAGAATGGTAACGGTTGCGCGAGTCCACGGAGGGCTCCACCCACGAAGGGTCCACGAAGAAGCAACCTTGTCTATCCCACCATTGCCGTCGCCCACGAAGGACTTGCCTCACTAGCGGTAGATCTTCACGAAGTAGGCGATCTCCTTGCCCTTACAAACTCCTTGGTTCAACTCCACAATCTTGTCGGAGGCTCCCAAGTGACACCTAGCCAATCTAGGAGACACCACTCTCCAAGAAGTAACAAATGGTGCGTTGATGATGAACTCCTTGGTCTTGTGCTTCAAATGATAGTCTCCCCAACACTCAACTCTCTCTCACAGGATTTGAATTTGGTGGAAAGAAGATTTGAGTGGAAAGCAACTTGGGGAAGGCTAGAGATCAAGATTCATATGGAAGGAATGGAATATCTTGGCCTCAACACATGAGTAGGTGGTTCCCTCTCAGAACTGGTAAGTTGGAAGTGTAGGTTTGTTCTGATGGCTCTCTCCACGAATGAAGAGGAGGTGGAGGGGTATATATAGCCTCCACACAAAATCTAACCGTTACACACAATTTACCAAACTCGGTGGGACCGAATCAACAAACTCGGTCGGACCGATTCAGTAAACCTAGTGACCGTTACTGATTTCAGTGGGAGCGACATGCAACTCGGTAGGACCGATATGGTTAGGGTTAGGGCATAACGTAATCTCGGTGAGACCGATTACACAAACTCGGTGAGACCGATTTTGGTAATTAGCTAACCAGAGAGTTGGTCAGGTAAACTCGGTGGGACCGATTCACTCTTTTTGGTGAGACCGAAATGTTACGAAAGGGAAACAGAGAGTTTACATTGCATTCTCGGTGGGACCGATCGCTCACTTCAGTTAGACCGAAATGTTACAAAGGGAAACAGAGAGATTACAATCCCATCTCGGTGAGATCGAGATCCCTATCGGTGAGACCGATTTGCCTAGGGTTTATGGTAGTGGCTATGACAATTGAACTCGGTGGCGCCGGATAGAAAGAATCGGTGGGACCGATTTTGACTTTGGGTTTAGGTCATATGTGGATGTGAGAAAGTAGTTGAGGGTTTTTGGAGCATATCACTAAGCACTTGAAGCAAGAGGCTCATTAAGCAACAACTCATCCCTCCTTGATAGTATTGGCTTTTCCTATAGACTCAATGTGATCTTGGATCACTAAAATGTAAAATGTAGAGTCTTGAGCTTTTGAGCTTGAGCCAATCCTTTGTCCTTAATATTTTGAGGGATCCACTTTCATCATCCATGCCATGCCATTCATTGAGCTTTCCTGAAATATTTGTGTTGGAATAGCATTAGCTCAATGAGCTATATGTTGTTATGAATTACCAAAACCACCTAGGGATAGTTACACTTTCAATCTCCCCCTTTTTGGTAATTGATTACAACATATAGATCAAAGCTTCGACAAATGATAATAAGATTGAAAAACATCGTCGCTTTGAGAAGTATGTGATAAGCAAGAGCTCCCCCTAAATTTGTGCATAGTTTAAAATTTGCTTTGGACTGCAAATGCACAAGGAATTAGACTCATGGGTTACTCTTCCATGTCACATACATCTTGGTGGAGCGCTCAAAATAATAAAGATTGAATACATGCACTCATCACCAAGCAAAGTGAATGATCATATAAGGATAAGTAAGATAATATCATCTAACAAGCATAAGTGTAGCTTATGATCAATCACATGATCATCAATGTCTCACAGATAATGGCATAGTATCTCAAGCAATCAAAAGCAAACAAAGTTCAACCAAGAAGACAAGAGAGAACAAAAGTAAACTCTCTCTCTCGAAGCCTATGATCTATACATTTTTCTGCCCCTTTGGCAACAAGTTACCAAAAAGTTCCTAGAAAATGCATAGTACTATATCGTATCTCAGGCTTGGTCTTCGGTTGGTGGTGTAGAGATGGCTCCTTGGACGAAGACTTCAGTTGATGTGGATGGAGCTGGAGGAGTTGGTGCTGGAACTGGTTGCACTAGAGCTGTAGCTGGTGCAGATGAAGTGGCTCTGGTGTCTGTCACTGGCACTGCAGTAGATCTCTGAGCTCGAGGCACTCTGGCAAATGCATCAGTAGTTGTCCTGCCCTTCCTCTCCTGCATGTCTTCCTGTAGCTGCTCCACAACTGACTGAATCTTAGTTACTTTGACATCTAAATCATAGAATTTTTGTTCCATGATTCTTTCCAGGCTCTCCTGGTTTTGAGTTAGGGTGGCCAACCCCTTCTCAATCCTCAATGTTGATGCTATCAAGTAACCAAGCTGGTCCTGCTTGTTCTTTAAAAAGTACTCAGATGCCTCCTCTTGAGTTGGCATCTTGGCAGCCTTCTCTCTCTTTGCTTTCTCCTTCTTCTCTTGAGATTGTACTGATGATGGTTCATTCTCATTCATCACAACTTGATTGTCCTCAAAGTCTGGATAGAGAGCAAAGTGTTCCTTATCCAACAGATATTTTCCTGTGCCCATCTTTGAGTTTATCAACTCCTGAATTTGTGGGGCATATCCACAACTCCTCTTTTGGTCTGCTGCTGTCCTCTTGATAGTCTCAACCATGAGGCTCATGACCTTGAATTTCTGTGGCACATCAAATATGTGTAGCAAGTTGATTGCATGGCCTCTGATCATGTTGTGGTCACCTGACTTGGGCAAAAGAGTGTGCCTTAGGATCCAGTTGATTGTTGGCAGCCCTGACAGAAGAAAATGGACTGACCCAAACGTGAAAGTCTCAAGAGCTTTGTCTGGGATCTCCTTGTACATATGTGACATAGTATTGTGTCCCATCTTTTTCTTGGCATAAAAGTCCAAGTCATCTTCACTCTCCTTTGGGGCATTGATCAGATTGGCCCACTCCTCAATGGTTGATTGGTATCTCGTACCTTCAGACATCCAAACTATCCTGCCATCTGGATAGAAATGTGCTGTGGAGTATAATTGCATAATGAGCTCATCATTCCAGTTGGTGAGCTTCTGCCCAACAAAATCTACAACTCCACATGCACTGAAGCTGTCATACACTCCAAGATAATGTTCTTCATTCTCCTTTATGTAGGTCCAGTCGACCCACCTCATATCACACACTATAGGCTTCTTGTCCAACAAGATTGTCTCATAGAAATCCTGATGTTCCTTTGTGTGGAACCTGTAATCAACAACAG